ACAATATTACTAATTGAATAACACTGTGGTACAATTATGTACCTTATTACATCATTAGCTTCTTCCCCATTACATCCTGAAGTAAGAGCATGCGTACATTGTTTGATTTTCAGATTAAGAGCAACTATTGAATCAACTTTGTGTATAATATTTCACATGGTTAGCAAACTTTTATGTACATGTGTTTGCACATTAATACACACATACTTGTATGTACTGGGCAGACTTGTACAAGTCTAGTAGTAGAGGTGGCCATTTATCATTTGTGTACAGTTTCGTCAGACACAATTGAAATGTGTACTCAAGGGCCTTCTGGCACATTCTGGGCGTAGAATCCAGGGCCTATAAATCACTGTGTGTAAACACACCTGTCTGAACTTTGGCTTCATTACTTTGTCAGCAGAGGGCGCTCTCCTCTTCACCATTGCTGTTTGCGGGCATTGGAGGACGTGACTACTGTGAGTCACTGAACTGGAATATTCCAGTGCCTGTTTACTACGCAATCCTTGCTATGAGCGCATGGCTTCAGACGCATGATCAGATAATCAGACCACACGTCAGAGTGCTACATTGTAGGGCAGGCGTAGGTGGATACATGAATGTTTCTAGGTCAAAGTACGACAACCGGTGTTGATCATGTAGCGAGTGTTGACATCTGGGAGTTCTTGGAACTGAGACTCTTCTATTCAATTCAATTCAATTCAAATTTGACTTGATTATCTCTGACGGGAAATGCCATTGGCCTTTTACATTTAAACACGTTAATGAAAAAAGAGACCTAACTCACAGGATGTTTGTCTGATGTTATGTCCTTGATAATCAGGACGCATTTTTAATAAACAGATTTCACAAGGATCTGCTTTATCGAGTTGATTTGTTCCATAGTTGTGGGGACTAGACACAAGTTGTCCCATGCAGAGATGATATTTTTCAGATTTTAATCTGAAATCAGATTTTTTTCAACTTTTCCAATGAAATTTCAGATTTTTTTACGATTCCACAAAAATGAGTACCGGTATTTAACCATTTTTCTACACATTTTCTTCTTTTTTTCATTATAATTTCCATAAAAAGTCCATGAAAAGTCGATGAAAACAGCATGTAAAAATTTGCACAAGTGTAGTAGATTTAATCTCTTTTACCACTACCAGTCGTGAATGGAGTGATTCTACGGTAGAAACACCTAGACCAATGCTGATCAGATCCTATTCCGGCTTGAGAAAGGTTAAATACTGACCTCTGACATGGAAAATTCCCTGGGTCCCACGTTGATGTGCTGCGCTGCACTGCACAACGTTGTGGCAGCTCGGAAGGTCCAATTTCAGATTTTTTTTTGCCAAGGCCAGTTTCATCTCTGCCCATGGTATTATGGGGACCGAAGACGCTGTGGGGACAGCAGAAAGTTGACGGTCACATACATACATGTAATTACGAGTGCAAATTAAAAGTGTTTACATGTACAAGAGGGACAAGGGGTATGCTTCAATCAATCGGTTACAATCTCTACGACTAACGTTGGATTGTGTGCAGAATATTAAATATGGAAACTTGCCCTTTTTTTTTTTAAAGTAAAATAATGGTAGTCCAGAGGCAGTACATGAACATGAAAAATGTACATTCATAGGAACATATTAAAAGTTTTTTACTGAATGTTTCAAATGCAAAACTGTGTTAGAAAAGCTATATCTACCGGTACCAGATGTTTGTTTTGATGGATTACGGGCTTATTTACATGTACCACCTTCTAGAGCCCCGTACGTGGTACACACAGTGTGCGCGTACATGTATTTGTTCGCGCACGTACCTGTTCGCGCACGTATTGCGCGAAGTATGTGCGACTGATTTTATTCTCAATAGGCGAAAAGCTACATGTATAAAGCGTCTTTGCGTGAGCATCAGGCCGGGCTTCGTTCGAAAGACACTCAAAGTGGCCTCCGCCAACTCCTTACTGTTGAGGGGGTACATGTACTTGTGCGCAGGAGCCCATTAACCCTCCTATGCAAACATCAGTGCATTCTGTGCCAAGTAGTCCTGTCAGTCAAAATCAATCAAGTGACTGTTTTGAACAGTTAAGAATTCCCAGCCTGCATGCATATAAAGCAGGATTGACTGGCTGTGACTGTTTATGTAACTTGATAGGCCTACAGCTTTGCTTTGACTTTGACTGCAACTTGCCTGCTTTGTCTGTTCATGGTCTGTTGACTGAGTTTGACTCGTCACAGTGCTAACTTGACATAATGATCTGACTCCTGGTGACTAGCCTGTGTTAAAAGAATAGCAGAGGAAGTGGATGGACATTTTGACTGTCTGTGACTGTTTAAATAGCAGGGGCCAATTTCATAGAGCTGCCCAAGCACAAAATTTGCTTAAGCACAAAAAAACCTTGCTTAATATAATCAGGTTATCGGCCCAAACTCCATGCGATGTACATTGCTTGTGACTGGTAATTACCGTTAGCTGTTGTTTACTTGGCATAACAATCGCATGGAGTTTTGGCCGATACATGTATCTTGATTTTACTAAGCAATTTTTTTTGTGCGTAAGCAAATTTTGTGCTTAAGCACCGCTCATGAGGGATACAATGTAAGAGCATTAAACTCAGAAGACATTCCTCATGCATACATGTAGAAAATACCTGCATGTACTCTGTACATACATGTACATGTACGCTGTACTATCGGGTTTTTACAGAATTACGGTATGTACACTTGGAAAAGGCTTTGTTGGGCCTGCAGCCTGCAAGTGGCATCATTGCTCGGTTCCGGCCGACTGACCAAACCGAAACGTAATTTCTAGATTTACAGTTTTTCTGTCTGGCACTTTTTTGTGACGCATTTATTGTGATGCCCGTAGCAGTATTCATTACAAAGGCCCATTGACGTATTGAACTTACATATATGGGTTGGAACGAGTTTTCTGTAGTACATACATTGTAAAAAAGAATTCCATTGATGATTTTTAAATAAAAAGTACCATAGTAAGGAAATGAATCATCTGTAATATACCCATAAATTAGATTCATAAAAGAAGTCATCATAAATTTAAGTATCTTTCTGTGAAATTTGGGGAGAAAAAGTTTGCCAGTCCTCAAAACCTGATATTTATGTAAAATCAGGAGTTTCATAATGAAATAAGTATTTTGGAAGGGTTCTTTATGCTCTTAATATTTAATGCATCAACCGTCACTTCCCGTAGGAAAATGACTGAAATAAACTGAAACCAATTGTGTCAATTTTGTTTACCATTTTGTAAATATTTTTTTTTGTTATTTCTTTGAAGCCAACTGCAGTACAAGTACATATTATACATGTAGTGGTACGGTTGTGTATTTCAATTGATGTTTCCCAAGGGATATACAGCCTGTCTCAAAAAAAATGGTACAATCGAAAACAATTTTTTTTTCAATATTAAATCTCAACATAAGTAAGTCGTTTTGAGCATCACATTAAAGAAAAAAGACAAGGCTTTCCAATACTTTTTGTTTCATCTCATTTGCTTTTGTCAATCCAGAGATAACTCCAGTTTACTGCGGAACACAAAAATCAAGTTTGTTTCTTTTGCCAAGTTGCAATCTTTTGTGAGCTTCAAGACAGCATGGCACAGTACTCGAAACAACTCTGCCCATGCAGAAAAGTGGCACCAAATCAATTTTGGTGTATCGCACTAAATTGATTATATATCTGACTTGACAAAAGCAAATAAGATCAAACAAACACTATTGGAAAGCCCAGTCTTTGTTCTTTAATATTATGCCAAGTAAGAATGACTTATTTTGAAATTTCATATTTAACCAATTTTTTTTTCTGATTATACCATTTTTTTTTAGACAGGCTGTACATGTACGGTATGTTTGTTCAGCATTTACAGTTCACAGGGTCAATGGGTTAAATGATACATGTACATTATTTACATACAGTATTCAAAGTGCAAACTGAAGTCTGTCCTGAGCTTACAGTACATGGCACATGGGGTGTATGACTTCTATATCCTTCACAAAAAAATACTTAAGAAGATTGAATTGTATCATTCCCTTTGATCATGGGTAGACTATTGCAAGTTACTCCTAAGCTGTTGTCAGTTTCAGTTTGTGCTTAAGTTTAAGGGCCCATGCAATGTAATTTATTTTATAAGGCATGAGAATCTTAAACAGGAATTCCTGGGGGATATTTTAATAACCATTATTATGCAAATTTCCATCTTCATGAGCATAAATGTGATGTCATTTCAGGCACGCAGGAACCTCAATGTTACAGCTATTTCAGCACCAAAAGTTGCCAGCATGTTTTATATTTTGCTGTCGTACATTTTCTTTACTTTAGTGATTCGTTGCTGTGTCAGTGTATGGCAGCAAGCCAATGAGCAAACTTTTTGCACAAATGTTTTTAAGGAGCAAATTTTTGGGTTCAAAATATGAACAGAAAACCCTAAAGTGAACTGTGTCTTCCTGAAACGACATTGTAGCAACAGCGCCCTCAGTTGACCGGAAAAGCATGGAAAATTTTTAAATGTTTAAAGAAGTGCACTTTTCAATAAGATTAACCAAAAGGGACGTCAAAGAGTAAATTCATGCATTTAAGTGGAGTAGAAAGTTGCACAGAAAGGGGTTCCGAAGAAAAATTCATCTCATGGCCCCTTAAAGATGATTTAATTTTATAATTCCCTTTGATCATGGGCAGACTATCGCAAGTTACTCCTGAGCTGATGTCAGTTTCGGTTTGTACTTAATACTTTTATTTTGGTGGAGAGAAGCAAGTAATACAATGTATGTTCATGCATAATATCTAGATTCGAACCCCTTACTATTCCATCATGGAGATGAAAGTAACATTATAGCGCATGCTCTCCCTGGTGCGTTAACCCTGACTTATTGGCATGCGAAGATACTATTTAGCAAAAGAATGCTCAACATGAAAGACAAAAGAAGTTGTATGGTATCCTTATTCATTGTTTCTTTTTTGCAGTTTTAAACCTCTCTTGATCTTATATTTCTCGGAAAACAGCTCTGGATGAAGCCACAGTGAAAGCCATGCTGGCCCGCGAGAAGGACCTGCACCGCTGCAGCACAGCACAGCGGGCCTACAGCCTGCGCTGCGTGGACAGCGCGGCCCTAGCCCGGCAGATCCACATGCGCATCGTACGGGAGTACGGTCTGCCAGACGAGGCCACCGAGATCTTTGCCAGCTACCCCCGGGAGTACAGCGAGCAAGCCGAAGTGGAAACCGACACGGAGGTGTTCGGCAGGAAGTGGAACGAGCCACCGGATCTCCAGCTGCAGAATGAGCCATCTGAGGCACCACAGGTAGGTCTTCATAGATTGTGTCACTTTGGTTGCCATTGAAATCCACCATCCACCCACACCCTACTGATCCCCCACCCATCTCCCCCACCCCACCCCATCCAATCTTCCATCCCCCTACTCAGTCCAAAGCCCCCACCCATCCCCCACCCCCATCTCCCCACCCCATCTCCCCAATCCCACCTCCCCAACCCCCCCATCTCCCCATCCAATCTCACCCATCCTTCCCCAATCCCCAGCCCCCACCCATCCCCCACCCCCAGCTTCCCAACCCCACCTCCCCAACCCCCACCCCCATCTCCCCATCCAATCTTACCCATCCTTCACCCCAATCCCCAGCCCCCACCCATCCCCCACCCCCATCTTCCCAACCCCACCTCCCCAACCCCCACCCCCATCTCCCCATCCAATCTTACCCATCCTTCACCCCAATCCCCAGCCCCCACCCATCTCCCCCAACCCCATCTCCCCATCCAATCTCACCCATCCTTCACCCCAATCCCCAGCCCCCACCAGTCCCCCACCCCCATCTCCCCAACCCCACCTCCATCTCTCCCACCCCACCCCCATTCCCCCACCCCCATCTCCTCCATTCAATCTCCCCCACCCCAATCCCCAGCCCCCACCCCCATCTTCCACCCCACCCCCACCCCTATCTCCCACATCCTCCACTCCATTGATCCCAGTCCTGTGGACTAGTTTTACTATTTTTCTTCAAATTTACCCTTGAAGAAGCTGCGCACTGCATTTGTGAAGATTCAAATCACAATGTTATATCATTTTTGTGGGCCATCATGTACATGTACCGGTACGTTCCAGTTCTGTTGGTACATGTTTGTACTTTGCAATTTTACCTACACAAACCTTTGGGCGAACACAAACCTGTGGGCGAACATCACTACCAAATTTTTTTTTTTCGGAGTCAAACTTTTCCCCATGCTGTAAAATTCTTTGAATGGAGTAAACAAATTAAAAGCCGATGGTATTGAAAGCAAATCATGCGGCACAGGACAAGGCTACAAAAAAAAAATGTTTTGTAAGGATTCCAGGGCATTTTGTTAAGGTTGACCCTATGAGATGTGGTGCCCTGATGCTAGAGGTTATAGCCCTTTTTTTGTTGATTTAAACAGAGGTGAACTGAAAAAAAGGTCCACCCGTCTATGGGAGCAGTGGAGACCAAATCTGCAAACGTTCATGCAACCAAAACGGAGATATGTAATTCGCACATGGGTTGAAACAAACAAACAAACAACAGAATTTGTTTCAATGCAAACTTCTCCCCAAAGTTTGTGCTTATATACCGGTACTACATGTCAAAAAAAAGTCCTACTTTTGATCCTAAATAACTCTGAACAAACTTACCAACGGAATTACAGCAAAATTCCAGATCATGTAAACAAGGCATGACACATTTTATGGAGCAAGTTTCATTAGCTTTGTTCAAGAGGATTTAATCGCCATACGAAAAAAATACTCACTTTCAGAATGGCAATACAGCGCTGGAGACGGTGGCGGAAGATGCGTGCTGCGGCCGAAAACTTCTGAAGGAATGCAGGATCACCCCTGATGTCATTGCACACCTCCTCGATCGTGTGTTGCGCCAAACAATCGAGGAGGTGTGCAATGACATCAGGGGTGATCCTGCAATCTTTCAGAAGTTTTCGGCTGCAGCACGCGCCTTCCGCCACCGTCTCCAGCGCTGTATCGACATTGGAGGACACCAAATCGAAAGTGGCAGATTCTAAAAGTGAGTATTTTTTTTTCGTATGGCGTTTAAATCTGACCCTCTTGCACAAAGCTGATGAAACCTGCTCCATTAATTGTGTCATGCTTTGTTTACATGATCTGGAATTTTGGTTTAATTCCATTCGTAAGTTTACAAAAGAGTTATTAAGATCAAAAGTAGGACATTTTTTTTGACACGCAGTACAGACTTTTTTTTAACTTTGTATATATGTACAATGTACCCTTGCCTGTGAAATTGTCACACCGGTATCTTGATCTGTCCTCACACTTGGAACAAACAAACATCGGTACTCTTTTTTTTCCATACTTGCACATTTTCATTGGTGATTTTTCCCCCCACAAGTTTCCAAGGGTCTCCTGCACCTGAATGATAAGGTTTAGGGTTACGCCGGGCTGTTGTTGGTTCCATTGAGATAACGCTTTGTAGGCCCGCTACCATTGGCAACAGTGAAACCTAAATATTACCCCCTACCACGCCACCAGACTATTATGACTGCATTGTTCACAATGCAGATCAAACTGGTTTGACCTGTCAACAGCCCGACTGCCTACGTTTAGTGCATATTTATCATGTTACCTCCCTGGGATCTTCTGATTCGCTTGTTTTTCACTTCACACTTACATGTAATGCCATTAAAAATTGAAAACACTGTAAAATTGGAATTCCTCTTTTTATCCCCGTGGCTCAAGGAAGGGGGATCTTGTGATAGTGTATTCCTTTTGTGTGTACATGTATTATATGTGTTACTACCGGATCTGATACACTGTGCCCTCTGGAGACATGCACACAAAAGGGAACAAAAGATCAATACGTCTCCACAGGGCAATTTCTATAGATGAAAAGGTCTCCACAAGGTTTTCATGAAATAGATATGGATTTTACTCAAAAACTAGGAATTTCCAAGGTATGTTGATTGGTCGCAAATGGTACAATTTTAGAAAAGGGATGTTAAGCTTGAATTTCAGCCAAGGATATTAATTCTGGTTAAAATAAGAGCATTTTGAAACTGAACTTTCAAACTCGAAAAACTTGAGTACACAAGAACAAAGAAATATATCCACAAGGATACAAATTTCAGTATGTGTCCGTGTGTTCCATTTTGGTTAGGTTAACGGTTTAGTGCTGTCCTATAAAATGTCAGACTTCGATCTCAACCAAACTTGGTGACAATAAACTGTGGGTAGGGGGACTTAAGATGACTTGAGATAGTTCAGGTCAAAGGTCACCCTGGTGCCAAATGAGGTCATTTTTGTTTTTGGTTAGGTAAACTGAAAAGTGCTGTCATCAACAGTCAGACTTCACTCTCAACCAAACTTGGTGACAATCATCTTAGGGTAGGGGGACTTCAGATGACTTGAGACATTTGAGGTCAAAGGTCACCTAAGGGTCAAATGAGGTCATTGTTGATTTTGGTTCGGTACTCTGAAAAGTGTGCTTACTAACTGACTGTATAAATACTGCCAGCGCAAGTTTAAATTGCAGTATTTTTTTGGTTACTTCGCTTATCATTTTACATACAATATGTACCTGTTTGTGGGTACTTGTAGTAATGGCTGGATGAATAGGGGAAGTTTGAGGGTTGAAAAATAATTTCAGGGTTTCACAAGCGTCCTGCACAAACTTTTTTCGAGCTTAACCCTCTCAGTCTCTGGTAGGATTTCAGAAGGTAGAGCCCTGTTGCGTTACACAGAGCTTGATCCCCTTGACCCGAAAAAAGTTGAACGATAGAGTATTTAAAAAAACAAAAACAGTAATGTTCTCTTTCTTTTTTTTATTCTTATATTTTTATACTTTGTATACTTTGTATATGTTTATAGAGCTACATGTAATTGTTTTTATATTTACAATGTGTGCTGGTATATTTCTTATTTTGATTCAATTCCTGTAATTGGCGGTTCTTCTGCTGTTGATTGTGGTTAAAAAATAAACAAGTATACATCTTTGGTTTCCTACAAAGTGGAGTTTTTGTAGGATTCAGGGAATTCGGGATTTGGGATTTCTAGCTGAAGTGGTGTGAAAAATCTTTAGGCCTTTTCACAAAATCTAGATAGAGCTTCTCAATTTGTATTTTATCCATCTAGAGAGCCTGGCCCCTGTAGAAGCTGAGTTAGATTCTGGTTAGTGTTTATTTATTTAATTCTTATTTTAACTTAAGGTAGCCCATTCAGTGGAATCCACTGGTCTCCCATGGGGCCCAGTAAAGAGAAGACATTGTGAAGACATTACAGTTTGAGATGTGGGAGGAAAAACCCATGAGAATATTCTGAGGGAAACCCACGGAATCAGGCAAGGACTGAAAACCCAATCCACATATTGGCCCAGGCAGGAATTGAACCCGGGTCACAGCGGTGGAAGGCGAGGAAAGTACCACTACACCAACCCGACTCCCCACTGTGAAAAGGGACCTCAAAATCTTTCTGCTGGATCCAGGTCCCAGATTTTGGATAGTGCCAAAGGCCCTATGGACCACTAAACCACATTGTACATGTACATGTAGGTCATAAAATTCAGTAGACTGGCACACTGACTTAAGCAGTCCAGACTGTACGTCATGCCCAATACTGTCAAATGTTGAGCGCACGTACACTAGCCACTTGTGCAATAAGTGTGATCCAGGAGTCTTCACTCAGCAGAGAAACAGTCCTTGGTTATGACACTATCTCATTTAGAGCAATTGTCCCAACTAAAGTGAGTACTAATTTCAAGCTCATCTTAGGAATAGGAAGATGAGGGGGGGGGGGACACAATATTTTGTAAATACTGCCCTTTTCCATTCAAATGCCCTTTTTTCACCAGTGCTTCCCCCCCCCCCCCCCAATATTTGTAAAGAGTGCCCTTCTTTTGTTTCTGAACAAGTGCCCTTTAAAAAAAAAAAGCTGTGCCCTTTTTTGTGCCATCGGCAGTTACTGGTGCGGTTTTTTAACTTTGCGCATGTATCGCCCTGAAAAGCACCATACATTGTCCATCGACAGATGGTACCAGGTCCCCCCCCCCCCCCACCACCTCACTATTTGATTTTACGGAGGCCAAGTGTCCAGAGAAAAACAACATGTCTACATTTCAGCACGGATGTGCGAGTGCCATTTTCAAAAAAATTGTTACCCCTTCCCCCCCAATAAAAAATGACCTTGCTATGCCCCTGGATTATCTCTTCAATAGTACCCCTTGATATTATATAATCCATTTTGAGGTTCCGGGATTTTGCAGGATTGAGGAAGGTAGAGCCTAGTCACACATTAATACCTGCAACTTCCTG